CCTGGGCATTCCGGTGGTCTCCCAGCGCGCAGCAGCAGCTCCTGCTCTGCCTGCCGCGAGCAGCCAGCGCTGGGAATTCCCATTCCCGGCTCCCCGCTGCCCTACAGGCAACCCCCACGCCGCAAAGGAAGGGCTCGCTCCGGAGCATCTTTGGGCCAGGGACCCCTCTTCCATGGGGAAGGGGCTCTGCAGGGGCACTTTTGGGGTGACCAGACATCAGGCGTCTCCCGCAGCGCGTGGCGGGTGGGGACAGCATCCTGCAGGAGCCGGGAGGTCAGCCAGCCCCACTCCCACCCCAGGGACACAGAGGGGGACCCCCAGCCCTACCCCAGCCCCATGGGCATCCCGCTTTGCAGCCACCAGCCCTGCACGCTTGGGACGTGCGGGGTCGCCAGCCGGGGGTGACAGGGCGTTTAGGACTGGGCTTCAAGCCGAGACTCAAGGGTTTCCTCCTCTACGCGTTTATAATGGCTCCTTTGAGACAAGCCACACGATTCCCCACTGGGAAGCCTCGCTGAGCTGTAAGTACAGCGCTTTTTATTTGGGCTGTTCATCTAAATCCATTGTACCTGGCTGGAAAAGCCCCTGTGTGCAATACTCCCTGCACTTGCTGCATCCTCGCTTGAATGTCTGTTAGCATCTTCCGCCCACTCCCAAGGGTCCCCTCAGCCAGTTAGAATAAATATACATAACTTCCATTTGAAAGCCTTTAAGAAAAAAAAAAAACAACGTTGTCAAGGGAAACTCTTCTAGCATTTCTTACAGACATGCTTGATCTGTTTTTATATTTTTTACTGTCATAAATGCATACATCAGAGAATTTTTTCTCCACGAGATACATATTCATTTGAATGCCCAACGCCCAGCTCACACTGGGCTTGTGTAATTCTGATGGTTGTCTCCTTAAAATAGCTTACAATATATATCAAAATTTAGCAGAAAGAGACTGGCTTTATCGGTTCTATTTTACCAATCATTCATGGAAATTTGGGGTTAACTAAAGGAAAATTTTGCAAATTCACATTATTCCAGACAGACGCATTTATATTCCCTGATTGTTGTGCTTTAAAATAAAAAAAACACCCAACCTTCCCAAAGTCAGCTCCTGTTTCCTAGCAGATACCCCCAAAAATGCGCGACGGGCGCATATTGTGATGATCCAACACGGAAGATCACGCCAGGTCTTTGTGCAACCCTCAGTTTTGTTCTAAAGCTGAGCTTAGCTAGTCGTGAAATGAGTGGGGAAAGAGAGTTATAAAACTATTAATTGCTGCTTTAGATTCCTAGATGAAAGCTGTATGTGGGCAGAAATAATTCGCTCTGTTCAGAAGTGAACATCAGAAAGGAGCAGCTCAGACAGTTCGCGACCCTTCTCCTCGCTCTGCTTCCTGCGCGGGAGGGATGAGGGAGGATGGAGGGATTTCCCTGGGGTACAAAGGCTTGCGGGGTGCTGGCACCTTTTTTTTTTTGAGGTGGGAACTGTCTCACTCCTGTCTCCTCGGATTTTGGCATGTCTCATCCAGAGCTGCAGCCACGCTGGGTGATGGTCCTGGGGATGGTCCTGCTGATCTGGAGCATCCCTTGTCCTGCTGTCCCAGCGCAGCCCCAAACCCGCCTTTCCACTGATTTCGGTGACATTTGGCCTGGCCTCCTGGGGTTGGTGCTGCACAGGGCAGGTGCCGAGAGAGGCTGAGGATGGATGTGGGATATGCTGGATCCCACAGACCCACCCCCACGGCCGAGTGTGTGTTTGTAGCCTGAATGCATGAGCATCCTTCTGGAAGGAACCTGGATTAGTCATCCCCACCCCACAGATGGGCTGTGTGATGTCTTCCCTGGAAAAGCTAATCTGCCACAGAGATTCCAATTTATCCCTGAAAAGGAGCATTTACACCCCTTTTTCTCCCTTGCTTTTGTTTTAAGCATTAAAAAAGTTGATCCTTCTTTTTTGCCTCCCCTTTCAAAGGCAAGACAATGAGTCCATTAAGCTCTGAGGTTTATCACGAGCCGGTTGCTTCGGCGTAATGGGAAGCGCTGGCTCTGTGGTGCAAAGCCTGTGTCTTTAAGGAGCCCTGGCTCGGAGATGCAGTGGAGTTAGCAGATGCCTTTGCCAGGCTGTTTCGCACAAATCTGGCATTTGCGGCACCCACAGCTTAAAAACATACCTCTGGGGCTTATTGCTAACCATTTCTCGGGTACCTGCTCCTCTCCAGCTCTGCTCTGACCTTCAGGCTGGGATGTGAAAATCTCCCCCATGCCCCTCCCTGTCTGACAAACCTTTCATGCTGTGTTTCTCAGACTGGAAAATGAGTCCTTCTCCTGCTCTGGTGTTTGCCCCAAGAACCCGGTGAGCAATGCAGGACTGGGGCGCAGCGGGGTCCGCAGGGGAACCGTGATTCCCTTGGGCAAGGTGGGACCCGCCTCGTGTCCCTGACCTGGCCATGGCCCCCCAGGAGCTGCTGTCGGACCCGACTGTCCTCTGCAGGGTCTGGTGGCACCTCGGCATAATCCAGGGGCTGCAGCACCCTTTTCCCTCTGTGTCACCTAAAAGTTTGAAAACTTCATGGGTGAAGTTTTCACCTCACAGATAGATCACAAACTCACAGGTTTTCTATCTCACAGATAGAGAAGGCGAGGGATTTTTCTAACAATCTACTGGCTGATTAAAACCAGGGAGGGAAGCCTTTGGGGTGGGAGATGAGCCTGGAAGTCATGAATGCCCCAGTGACCGCTGCAGCAAAAGCATCAGCGGCTGCAGAAGTCGTGTCGGTACCAGCAGCGACCCTGAAGTGCGAGTGGAGCTCAGGACAAGTCATGCCTGATAGCAGGATTTTTCCCAAGTAGCTGATGCGCGGGGAAAAATGTAATTCCTGAACTAAGAGAAGAAAGGCAGTGTCCCTCCTGAGGACACCCAGCACCCCGTGCCGGGAGCAGGGGCGCCGCGTGGGTCCGAGGCTGCTCCAGGCATTTTGATGAGTAAGTTAGGTGGAGAAGTCTGATTTCAAGGTGACGCAAGAAGGTGACAAACCTTTTTATTTGCCTTTTTATTCTCAGCCTCTGGTCAAGCTGAGTAAATGAAGGTGTGGAAATACTTCTCTTTGTTAGATGCTTTAACCTCTGCTCATTAGAAAATGGAATTTCTGCTGGATGAAAAAGCCCAGCTCCCTGAAACTTTTAAGACCTTCAAACACAACAGAAATCAAAACTTTGGTGTCTGTTTCCCTACCAACATACAGGTTTTTAATTCAGAGTCATCAATGATTCTGAATCATGTTTTTGTTATGTTTCAACATTATAAAAATAATCTTAATATCTTACATGACAGAACACACAAGAGGAAACAAAGCAGGCAGATGAATTGTTTTGACACTTCTTCCACTGAAATTCTCCCTGAAGTGCACACCTTCTGCGAAAACACTTTGATTTTGGCAGAACCACCTTTGCTGCTGGGTAGAGCGTACCGCCAAAGGGCTGTTTGACCAGGCGTAACGTAGGTGGTCAGGCTACAAAGCAGAACCGCTGCGGCGGGGATTTGACAAGAGCTGGTTTTTCCATGGGGGAGGCTCTTTGGGGGATAAATCCTCTCTGCAGTGACTAACGACCTGTTTGAAGAAGGAAAGCCCCACGGGTGAGGTGCTGGAGGTGCAGTAAACTGCCTTCCTTAGGCTGTTAGCAAAGGGAGAAACTTTAAGAGGTGAAAAAAAGCAAGGAAAAGTTGGACCTGGAAAAATAATAGGTGTGTTTTTTTCCCCCCTTCCATATCACAGAAAAACAATTGCCCAAAGCTGTTTCTCTCCCTGGTCCTCACTTTCCAAAATGCAAACATCCCTTCTCACTTCCCCGGGTGCTTCTGGACCTCTCAGCCCTGAGCACCCAGGGCAGGGGGGAGCCCTGTGTCCCCCCCCAGCCCCGCTGTGTCTTGCCTGCAGGTGGAACCAGCTCCCGCTCTGCTGATCATGGTCAACAAGACCTTAAATTACTGGGGTCCCAGTTTTGAGGAGGACGTTATCAACATCAACGTGGGGGGTCTGAGGAGGCGGCTCAGCTCCAGCGCCCTCTCCAAGTTCCCCGACACCCGCCTGGGACGCCTGCTCTCCTGCGACTCGGAGGAGTCCATCCTGCAGCTCTGCGACGACTATGACGTGAGTGCCAGGGAGTTCTACTTCGACCGAAACCCTGGCTTCTTCCTCTACGTGCTCCACTTCTACCAGACGGGGAAGCTGCACGTCATGGAGGAGCTGTGCGTCTTCTCCTTCTGCCAGGAGATTGAGTACTGGGGCATCAACGAGTTCTTCCTGGACTCCTGCTGCAGCTACCGCTACCACGAACGCAAGCTGGAGAGTCGGCACCACAACTGGGACGAGGAGAGCGAGGTCAGCAGCGTGGACACGTCCCCCGATGAGATCTCTGACATCAACCACGACCTGCTGCGCTACAGCACGCTGCGCTGCGGCAACGTGCGCAAACGCCTCTGGCTCACCATGGAGAACCCCGGCTACTCCATCCCCAGCAAACTCTTCAGCTTCGTGTCCATCAGCGTCGTGCTGGTTTCCATAGCCACCATGTGCATCCACAGCATGCCCGAGTACCAGGAGGTGGATGAGAACGGCAACATGCTCGACGAACCCGTCCTGCACAAGCTGGAGTATTTCTGCATCTCCTGGTTCACCTTTGAAGTGTCTTCTCGCCTCCTGCTCTCCCCCAACCCCAGGAAGTTCTTCAAGCACCCACTGAACCTGATTGACATTGTCTCGGTGTTGCCCTTCTACTTCACTCTCTTGGTGGACGTGACCATGGGCAGTGACTCGGAGCTGGGCAACCTGGGCAAGGTCGTGCAGGTGTTCCGGCTCATGAGGATATTCCGGGTGCTGAAGCTGGCTCGGCACTCCACCGGACTGAGGTCGCTGGGGGCCACCTTGAAGGTAAACGGGCTCTCTATCTCCTTATCTCCTCCTTTAGTCTCGGGGCACGAAGGAGACCCCTGGTATGGCTGGGGGGGGTGGACATACCCGTTCCCAGTGAGCTACCAGGTTTGGGGGTGTCTGGCAAGCTTGCCTGGGTGGTGGGCTGGGCGGTTGGTGTGTCTGCTGAAGCAGCCAAGTGTGAGGAGCACTGCATGGGTCCTGTTCATACACACCCTCACAGCAAGCAGCAACACCCCACCATGGCCGGTGTTGGAACGGACTCGGCCATGCGCAGGTGGATGGTGATGTCCCACCAGAAGCGAGTCAGTGCCTCTCCGGGCTGCGAGCGACCTGCCCAGCCAGCAGCTGCTGGGTTTGCCAGCACCGGTGTGTATGGCTTGGAGCTGCTCCTATCCCCAGTCTGGGAGAAGGGGGAGCCTCCTAAGGGCATGCTGCCAGCTGACTAGAGGCCAGCATCTGACCCTTGGTGTCTGCACACCTAGGGAGACCTAGCGATCCAGCTGAGCTGACACTTGGATGCTCCAGGATACGATGATGTTGGGACTGGCACATGGTTACCGTGGGTGGCAGAAAGCAGCGATAGGAAAGCAGGGGGTTGGCTGCAGGGCCTGGGACAACCAGCCCAAGGCAGGGTACGTGCCCCCAGCAGAACCCTGGCATGCTGGAAAAGCTCAGGGAAGGCACGGCGAGCAGGACTGGGGAAGCTGGCCACAGGACCTCAGGAGGAAGAGCTGGGTGAGGAGATGCTGAAACAGTGAAGGGTCCAGGTGGCATCTCTGCAGGTTTGGTGAGAGATGGTCTGCATCTTCCATAGTGTGCCCCAAGGCTGTGTTTCTCCAGACCCCTCCGCAGCACCCCCAGCCTCTGGGGCCAGACCCAGAGCAGCTGTGACAAGAGTCAAAGCACAAAGCTATCCCAAAACCCTCACCAGCCTGGTGCTGCAGCAGGGACCAGCCACAGTGCCCTGCGTGGCTGTTGGCTCTCCCCCACCATCCCTCCCTCCTCCATCCTCTTCCTGCCAAGGGCCACGTGCCCAAATCTGGGAGGGTAAAACGGTCCCCTCGCCTCCTGCTCTTACAGAGAAAATCCTGCTTGCTGCAGAGGCCAATTAAACTCAGCCTTTAATCATCTCTGATTCTTGGCGGCCACATCAAGAGAATTGATGAGCTTGAAATTCCACCGAAGGGACGCTCTCCTCACACTTAGCTCCTGGCAGGGCCCAGAGCCGCAGCTCCTGGTGCTGCTCCCACCGAAGGGGCAGCGCAGGGATGCAGCAGGCACAGCTGCAGCCGGGGACACCCTGTTTCTTCCCGCTGCAGCAGTGGCAGGGCTGGCATGGGACGTCCTGGTGTCAGGACTTGACTGCCAGGGCTGGACTCATTCCCAGGGGTGAGCCATGGAGAAAAGCCACCCTTGAATGTGGCTGGGGATGAGGATGGGCAGCAGGAAAGGTCTTCTGCCAACTTGTGCTGTGAGGCAGGACCAGCCCAACGCTAATCCTGCGAAGCCCACAGAGCATCAGAGTAGGGGTGTGTGTGGGACATTGCTGGCATCCTCAAAACCTGCTGAAAACGGGGTCCAGGAAGGATTAATTTGAAGTGAAGATGCCTGAAGTCCTACCTGCATCAGACTCACTCCTGAACGCTCACAGTTAGCAAGGGACAGACCCATGTGATGCTGCTTACGGAGGCACATAAAATTGTACCCGTGGCAAGGGCTCCCCGAACCCTTTCTGTGCTCCATTTCAGCGTGAAGAACACGCAGAGCAGGGACCGGTGGACTCGTCTGCGTGTTATTAAGCAGCAGACGAGATCTGGGGAGCCGGCAGCGTCCTGGCTCCAGCCTCTGCCGAGCCGCTGATTCACTGAGTGACGTGCTGGAAAGTGCTGCTTCCCGGGGACTCCGGAGCCAGCTGTAAATGGGGATGAGCGGAGACACAAATCTGACGCAGCAGCTTGGCGTTGTGATTTACTGGGCACATAAATCACAACGTCTTGTTAATCATAATTTACTTCCTATTGGAAGAGCATAAAGCAGCAGCAGAGGAGTAAAGGCTGTTAACAGCCAGGAAGCGGGAGCGATGGCTCTGGCAAGCCAAGCAATTGTTCTCCTGCCACGAAAGTGCTAGCAGAGGGATTTCTGCCATTTGTGCATCATAAACTCTGAACGGTCTTCAGATTGCTTGGGGCCTGATCCAGGGTCTATTTAATTTGAGGAGAGGCTTCCCACACGTCTCTGCTCTTCCTCCCTGCCGTGCACGACATCCATTCCCGTTATTGCAGCTTCGCGGGTGCGGGTTTGGTGTCTGTCTCCCACGGGCAGTCAATATGTGTTAGGCACTGGGTAATTTAGGCATCTACAGGGATCTACAGGCCTTGGTCTGTCCCCTTCAGGGCCTAAATACACGAACAGGTTGAAAGAGCTGGAGCTGCACGTCCCCAGACAGCAGATGCATCACCCTGCTGTCACTACCGCGGGCCATCTCCGTGCTCCGTTCCCACACTGGTGTCTCTGGCCAGGCTCGAACCAGGCTCTGACAGTTCATTTGTCTTCTGCTGTACTGGAGGAAAGTTGTGCATTCGGGTGGGGAAGGAGCCCATGCGTGGCCCATGGCTGTCCCAGGGGTAGGAGCCCAGAGAGACTGCTGCTGGGTAGCTGTTTTGCTGGAGGCCTATTACCCAGCATCACCTCCCCCAAGGCTGGCTGCTTGCTAAGACTGCATCCCTCCGAACCTTGGCTGAGGCTGCATCCCACCCGAACCCCGGCTGAGCCTGCATCCCACCTGAACCACGGCTGAGCCTGCCTCCCACCC